AACTGGGCTCATATGACTATTTCAGAAGTGGTCAGTGCTCCCCTAATCTCTCTGCCCCGGCAGTGCACACTGGCCCAAAGTCCAACTGCCTCAAGGCCCCTGATGAAGCAGGAGCTCCTCTTCCTGTGCAAAAGGCAGGCAGGCCAGAAGGAGAGAGAGAGCCCTGCCTGGGAGCCGTCCTAACCAGTGACTGCCGAGAAGAAAGTCAGTACCCCAGCTATTTGGCCTCCATGGGCATGGCGACTCTGGGGCCGAGCTACACACTGCCTCCCCAAGCTCCCCAGCCAACAGAGCTCTAGGCTCCTGCAGTGATGAACAGTCCTCCTTGACGCCCTTCCCTCCCCTGCCCCACGTCCCCCTCCTCCACCACTGTTTCCCGGGATCGCCTCCCGAATGAACTAAATCCCTGTCTCAGGTCTGCTTCTGGGTGAAACCAGGCTAGGTCAGGTTAGTGCTTTGCTCATCTGTCACTGTCCCCCTGCCTCCACCCCTGGCCCTGCTTTCCGGGAACCAAAGCAGAGGAATGTGCATGTTCCCACTTGACATCAGTGGCTGTTTAGTGTCTTTAATATGACAACCCACGTAAGAACGGGGGCTTCAGAATCCTGTCCAGTCGCAGAAGAACCATTTTAGAAACACGCATCAGATATCACTTACTGTATGTAAAGTGATAGCCCTTTGCTGTAGGCAAACTTGTCCTATAGGTGGCTCACTTTCTCTGGAGGTTGGAAGGATAGTTACCACCATCTGAATTTTTACCAACAGAAGAACAAGCTTGCAGAGCTTGGGGCCAGCCCAGAAACCTCTTGGGGACTGGATTCCCAAAGAGTCGTTTTTTTCTTTAAGTCACCTTATTCCATCAAACCTCAGGGGTCAGCCCTCTAAACCATGTGATCTTTAGAGCCCAGAAGTGAGCACTTGCTTCTCCTCTACCATTGCGCAGATGGCCATGCCAATGGTTCTGGGAGAAAGTCCTGGCCAAAGCAGTTCTTAGAAGTGTCTGCTCTAGGTATGCAAGGACAGCATTCCGGAAAGAAGGAGCAGAAGAATGGCTGAGGACTCCTGGCCTGACTTTAGAGACTACGTCCAAGGGCTGGACCTCCCACAAGTCCCATAACCCTCCCAGGCTTAGAGCAATGGTCCCCCAGGTCCCTTCTGGCTCCAAAATCCCCTGGTTCTAGATACGTAACAGATTAGATAGATTTCTATGTTTCCTGACCTAAGTATCCTTTATGACACTGTTTATATGACAAAAGATGTCCCACATATCAAGCTCTTAGAACATAAGTGTCTGTTGAAGGCCCAAATTAGTAAGTTCTTGCTTTATAGTCAAATTTGTATAGCCGGTATCCTGAAAGCATTTTATTTAAAGTGCCTTTGTTTATTACCATTACAAGTAGCTGGATCATTGGGCTTTGCTTTCACAAGGGAGTCACAGACCAGCAGCTATCTCCCATATGTATAGTTTCATGGAATAATTCTCATCAAAGTATTGAGACTTCTCTCAACTATTAAATGTCTTTTTCCCCAAACAAGAGATAAATTTATGCATCTTCTCCTGGATGCTCCCCATTTACTAACACCAAGGGACAGGGATACACAATCCTGGTCCATGATCAAGGAGACAGATCTATGGACTGTTTCAAAATACCCAGAGCCTTGGCTTTCTGAAGTTTAATGTGCTCATGAAAACCTTTTCGTTGATATCAGTGTTAACATAAAGTCAACTTTGTCTGCATATGTCTCGCCCCCGTAAAATAACACACTGTTCACATAAGGATTCGGTGTCTTTCATCCCAGGTCACATTCTATTTCAGAAGAGTGTCTTCATCTCCAGTTGGTGCTAAAGAGAATATAGTGTTAGGTACTGACTGGTATCTTACAAGTGATTGATCTCAGTAGGGCTATGCCTGTTGAAGAACTAACACCTCTTTTCTGACTGTCCATTTAACGGTTGCCCTGGGGGGTGGAAATGAGCTTCAGCTGTGCACTTAGAGCCAGAGCTCTTATCCACAGGCCTTGAAAAGGTGAGGAGGTTCCATACCACTCAGGATGTCATTGGCATCACTCATTCCCACAACCATATCCTGTGTGTGTACGGGGAGGGACCTCCCAGCCCGGGAAGAGGTCCAGGTTCTCTCCTGGATCACTGGGGCTTCAACCGAACATCATCTCCTCTAGGCAGAAGATGAACTGAGCACTAGAGAAAGATTGTTCAAAAGTCCAGTGCAAAGATTCCTTACAGCCTCTGTGAAATGCAGGCGTTATCTGAACAGACAGGAAAAATGATATTGCCTCAGCCACAGCAATACAATGGGACATAAGACAGATGCAGTTTGAAGCGAGAAAGGCAGAGCTGCTCTAGAAGGTTGCAGATAGAAAGGTCTAGAAAACAAGGTACTGGTTCAGAGTTCTTGCCCCACAAAAGCCCAAAAGTAAGATGCCCTGAGGAAATGGGACTGTAGGAAGTAAGAGGGGAGAGAAGAAAAAGAACATACTTTGTGTGTCTGCAGCTTGGCAGAATAAGCAGGATTGTGCTCTTGGAAAACATTTCTGGGTGGAGAGAATATAAAAACAAAAGAAAGAAATATATACGAGTCTCACCTACAAACACAAATACTGAAATCCTAAATAAAATATTGGCAAACCAAATGTTGCAATATTAGACTCACATGCCCACACAACTAATACATTTATTCTGAGAATGCAAAAATGAAATTAATAGAAGGACACTCACTGTTATAATAAATCACTTAGTAAGGACTGTTTTTTAAAACCACAGGATAATCCCAACTGATGCCAAAATGGCCCTTGGAAACATTCAACACATATTCCATTAAAAAAAAAAACTCTCAATGAATTAGATAATTCTGATGACAGATATTCATCTCAAAGCACCTAGAGAGGGGCACCTGGGTGGCTCAGTCATTAAGCGTCTGCCTTCGGCTCAGGTCATGATCCCAGAGTTCTGGGATCAAGCCCCGCATTGGGCTCCCTCCTCTGTGGGAAGCCTGCTTCTCCCTCTCCCACTCCCCCTGCTTGTGTTCCCTCTTTGGCTGTCTTTCTCTCTGTCAAATAAATAAAATCTTTAAAAAAAAAAAAAAAAGCACCTAGAGAGTTTTTCCTGAATGAGAACTCATTGTAAATATCAAAAATATCTTAAACATCGTAATATTTTACTATTGATCAAACAAATCCATGAGTTATAAATGCAAATACTTTTACATAAATATTTATGTTGTCAATCAAAACAGCATGTATATACGTTTGAAAAATAATAAGAAAAATAATAAGATTTATTTTAAATTATAGGCAAATACTTTGATATTTGTAATGATTTTTTAAATATTGACTATTTTTAAAGAAGTAAATAAGCAGGGGCACCTGGGTGGCTCAGTCGTTAAGTATCTGCCTTCGGCTCAGGTCATGATCCCATGATCCTGGGATTGAGCCCCGCATCGGGTTCCCTGCTCTGCGGGAAGCCTGCTTCTCCCTCTCCCACTCCCCCTGCTTGTGTTCCCTCTCTCGCTATGTCTCTGTCAAATAAATAAATAAAATCCTTAAAAATTTTTTTTAAAAATAAAAATTGAATTAAAAAAAGAAGTAAATGAGCAAAATTGACTGTAAAATCCAGACAGAAGAAATTGGCAAAGTGGCCAAAGAACCATCCTCAGAAAGAAGCTAGTCCCCGTGGTCTTTGCCAATAAAATCCATCAGTCATTCATGGTACAAATTACTCATACAAATTAAAAGTATCCCAAAAAATTGAAGGAATCTAAGTTTACTTTATTTATTTAAAAACTTGGTCTGGGGGCGCCTGGGTGGCTCAGTCGGTTAAACATCTGCCTTCAACTCAGGTCATGATCCCAGGGTCCTGAGATCAAGCCCCACATCGGGCTCCTTGCTCAGCAGGGAGCCTGCTTCTCCCTCTCCCTCTGCCTGCCACTCTCCCTGCTTGTGCTCTCTCTCTCTCTGTCAAATAAATAAATAAAATACTTTTAAAAATTAAAAAAAAATAAAAACTTGGTCTGAATCTGACCCAAAAATCGTATGCCTCCAAAAATTTACATACTACCTCACTGGTTAACAAACATTCAAAAATTCTTAATATGTTAACAAATTGTTTCCAATGGCCTATTTTTTTTTCCTGAGCTTTACTAATAATTTCAAAAATAAAAGGAATCAAATGGCACAACTGAAGCAGAAAGATATCTGGGACACTAAGGTGATGTCCCACGTGTTTCTATGCACACCCTCTGGTACATACTATTGATGTCCAACTGCCTATTAAAATACTAATTTACAATGGCCAAGGAGGATTTTGTCTAGGAATGTAATAACCTCAATTTTAGGAAACCTATTAATATTTTTCATTATAATCACAGATTAAAGGGGGAAAATATAATTACTTTGATAAATTCCTAGATTGATGTTTGATAGGTAGTAGGAAATTCATACATATTCATAAATATTGAGTGAAGAATAGCTGATAAATAGGAAGATAAAAACTTAACAGTAATAGCTGTTAGCCTTTTTGAGGTTTGCCGATCTCTTCAGGAATTTGATAAAAACTTTGAGCCTCTCTCCATAAAACAGTAAAGAATGAAAATGATTAGGGGTGCATGGATGGCTCAGTTGGTTGAGCGTCCGACTCTTGGCTTAGATCATGATCTCAGGGTCATGAGATCAAGCCTCGCATCAGGCTCTGCACTCAGTGCTGAGTCTAATTGGGATTCTCTCCTTCTTCCTCTCCCTCTGCCCCTCCCCTGCTCATGCTCTCTCTCTCTCTCTCTAAAAAAGTAAAAAAGTAAATAAAATATTTTTTTAAAAAATGAATATGATTTAGATAGATTCCCAGGAGGAGTCTCACTCACTTATGCATCAAATAATAGGAATACAGACCCCAGCCCCAACTGTGGACCCTGACGTGGCCTGTGAGCCAGCTCCAGTGCCTCAGCCAAAGCAGCCCCTGGAGAACAGTGACTTAGACGATTACCTACCTGCAAGAGCAATGTGGAAGTCCAGGAGTCCGGGCGCCTGGGTGGCTCAGTTGGTTAAGCAACTGCCTTCGGCTCAGGTCATGATCCTGGAGTCCCAGGATCGAGTCCCACATCAGGCTCCCTGCTCAGCAGGGGGTCTGCTTCTCCCTCTGCCCTCTTCCCTCTCATGCTCTCTGTCTCATTCTCTCTCTCAAATAAATAAATAAAACCTTAAGGAAGTCCAGGAGTCCATCAGAGAAGTTCCAGCACACTGTTGGAGCAAAAACAAATCTAAGACTGGACACATTGGAGAGGATAAAAGTAATAGTTTGACTTTACCCACCTCACCCCTCCTCTGAGGTGGCACAACTCAGTGCCAAGAGAGCCTTTCTTGGCCTGTGATTTCTCCCATGGGAGAAAGTAAGACCATGTAAGTGAGCACCCAGCTTCCCCAGCTGTGCAGGACACTACCAAAGAAGTCTGTTTATTGCTCACCCCATTCAGAATACTGAGTCATAATCTACATGACTAGGAGATGGTGAGCAGCTATGAGAACAGCAGCCAGGGCTCAGAATGTATCAAGTGGACTCAGATCCTATTAACTGCATCATGGACTCCCATCTAGAGCCCGGACCACCACTGGGACACCTCATCCATAGGTCTCCCCATTGTCTCAGACACCCCCCGTGCTCTGTGTGCCTTACCCACACACATCTCCACCACATGGCTGGCTCCCTATGTGCACTTCCAATGGCTATAACGAAAGCAAGCTTCAGCAAATGGCTAGTGAGCATGCATACAAGGCATGACTAAATCTGTGAGCAAGAGAGAAACCACAAACTTGAGGATAGCACTGCCCTTGGGAAAGCAAAAGGGAGGTTGTCAGCACTCAGCCTGTGCATTGCAGAATTGAGAGAAGGCATACAAGCTTTAAAATTCTGCCTGAGGAGGGAGAAAGAAGTGTGGAGCAGGAGTATCCATAGAAGGTCTGAGAAAGCCTCAGAATCCCTGGTAAAGCCGATGGAAGGTATTTCTCTCCTGAAATCAGTCAGTAAAGACTGGAGGAAGTGACTGCTACTTCAAATGCAAAGATAACAACACAAGACTTAAAGGAACATGAAAAATCAAGGAAACATGACACCACCAAAAGATCACAATAACCTTCCAGTAACTGACCCCCCCAAAAATGGAGATTTGTGATTTACCCAATGAAGAATTCAAAGCAGCTTTTTAAAGGAAGCTCAATGAGCTATGAGAAAACATGGAAAGTCAATTCAGCAAAATTAGGAAAACAATGCATAAAACAAAATGAGAAGTTTAACAAAGAGGTAGAAATCATAAGAAGGAACCAAACAGAAATTCTGGAGCTGAAGAATACAATGAATGAAATGAAAGATGCCATAGAGAGAATCAAGAGCAGAATGGATCAAGCATATGAAAGAATATGTGAAGTAAAAGACAGGACCTTGGAAATTATCCAGCCAAAGGAGAAGAAAAGAAAAGAATGAAAAAGAATGAAGAGAGCCTATGTGAACTATGGATACTATCAAGAGAAGTAATCTGAATTATTAGAGATCAAGAAGGAGAAGAAAGAGAGAAGGGGGCAAAAAGCTTGTTTAAAAAAATGATGGTTGAGAGGTGCCTGGGTGGCTCAGTCAGTTAAGTGCCTACTTTCAGCTCAGATCATGACCTCAAGGTCCTGGGATTGAGCCCCACGTCAGGCTCCCTGCTCGAGTCTGGCAGGGAGTCTGCTTCTCCCTCTCCCTTGGCTCCTCCCCACCCATGCTCTCTCTCAGTCTCTTTCACTCTCTCTTAGTCTCTGTCTCTCAAATAAATAAAATCTTTAAAATAATAATAATAATGGTTGAGAACTTCCCAAATCTGAGCAGAGATTTGACCATCCAAGTTCATGAAGCTCATAAGTCCCCAGACAGGTTAAACTCAAAAATTTTTTCTCGAAGACTCATCATAATAAAACTAACAAAAATGAAGGACAAAAAGAATCTTAAAAACAGCAAGAGAAAAGAAGCTTATCACTTATAAGGGAATCTTCATAAGGCTATCAGCAGATTTCTCAGCAGAAACCTTACAGGCCAAGACAGAGTGGAATGACATACTCAAAATGCTGAAAGAAAAAAAAAACACCTGCCAACCAAAAATACTTTATCTGACGAAGTTGTCCTTCAGAATGAAGTACAGATAACCTCATTCATTCCCGGACACACAAAAGCTGAGGGAGTTAAGCAACACTAGACCTGCCTTACAAGAAATGCTGAAAGTTCTTCAAGCTGAAATGAAAATGCTCTAATTAATAATATGAAGGCATGAAAATATACAACACACTGATAAAGGTAAATATATGGTCAAATTCAGAATATTCTAATACTGTAATATGGTAGTGTGCTAACCACTTAATGCCAGTAAAAAGATTAAAGGACAAAAATATTAAAAATAACTATAGCTACAATAATTTGTTAATGAATACACAATATCAAAAGAGGTAAATTGTGACATCAGAAAACATAAAGGGAGAGAGTAGAGGGTAGTTTTGTACGCCATTGAAGTTAAGTTGCTATCAGCATAAAATAGTTCACTATATCTGTAAGATGTTTTGTGTAAACCTTATGATACAAAGCAAAATCTACAGTAGATACACAAAAGATAAAGAGATGGGAGTCCAAGCATACCACTACAGAAAATCATCAATTCACAAAGGAAGATGGCAAGAGAAAAAGAAGGGAACGAGAGAACAACAAAACAGCCAGAAACCAATTAATGAGATACATTAATTAGACCTTACCTGTGAATAGTTACTCTAAATGTAAGTGGATTAATTTCACCAATCAAGAGACATAGAGTGGCTGAATGGATAAAAAACAAGACCCAACTACACACCGCCTACTTCAGCTTTAAGGGCGTACATAGGCATAAAGTGAAGGGATGGAAAAAGATATTCCATGAAAATGGAAACCAAAAGAGAACAATGGTAGTTATAATTATATCAGACAAAATAGACTTTTACTCAAATGCTATAATAAGAGGCAATGTCATTATAAAATGATAAAGGGGTCAATTCATCAAGAGTATGTAAAAATCATAAATATGTATGCACCCAATATTGGAGCATCTAAATATATTAAGCAAATACAAACAGATCTGATAGGAGAAATAAACAACAATACAAGAGGGGTAGGGGACTTCACTACCCCACTTTGAACAGTGGATAAATCATCCAGACAGAAAATCAATAAGGAAATGTTGGATTTGAACCAAATGGACCTAAGATATATATATATATATATATATATGGAACATTCCATCTAACAACAGCAGAATACACATTCTTTTCAAACTTACATGGGGCATTCTTCAGGATAGACATATGTTAGGTCACAAAACAAGTCTTAACAAATTTAAGAAGGTTGATATCATGCTAAGTATCTTTTCCAACTACAGTGGTATAAAACTAAAAATCAATAACAGGACGAAAACTGGAAAATTCACAAATATGTGGAAATTATATAACACACTCCTAAAAAATCAATAGGTCAAAAAAGAAATCAAGGGGTGCCTGGGTAGCTCAGTCGGTTAAGCATCTGCCTTTGGCTCAGGTCATGATCAAGCCCCGTATCAGACTCCCTGCTTGGAGGGGAGTCTGCTTCTCCCTCTCCCTCTGCCCCTCATCCTTTCCCCCACTCATGCACTCACTCGCTCGCTCACTCTCTCAAATAAATAAAATCTTTAAAAAATAATAAAGTAATAAAATAAATCAAAGGGCAATAAAAAAAATCTTTGAACAAACGAACATGGAAACAAAATATATCAAATCTTATGGGATGTCGCAAAAGCGATTCTAAGAGGGAAGTTTATAGTGATAAATGCCTACATTAAGAAAACAGAAAGATCTCAATAAGTAACCGAACTTTACACCTCAAGAAACTAGAAAAAGAAGAACAAACTAAACCCAAAGTTAGCAGAAGAAACAAAAAACAGAGCAGAAATAAATGAAATAGAGACCAGGAAAACAATAAAAAAGATCAATGAAACTAGAGCTGGTTTTGAGGAAAAAAATAAAATCGACAAATCTTTAGCTAGACTAAGGAAAAGGAGACAAGATTCAAATAAATAAAATCAGAAATGAAAGAGGAGACATTGCAATTGATATCACAGTAATAAAAAGTACCATGAGATAATACTATGAACAACTGTATACCAACAAGTTGAATAACCTGGAAGAAATGGATAAATTCCTAGAAATATACACCCTACCAAAACTGAATCATGAAGAAATAGAAAATCTGAATCGGCCAATAATGAATAAGAAGACTGAATCAGTAATCAAAAACCTCCCAACACAGAAGAGCCCAGGACCAGATGGTACAGTGGTTCATTCTACAAAACATTTAAAGAAGAATTAACGCCAATCCTTCTTAAACTCTTCCAAAAAAATAGAAAAGGAAGGAATACTCCCAAACTCATTTTATAAGGCCAGTATTACCCTTTTATCATAGCCAGATAAGGACTCTATAAACTGAAGGCCAATATCCCTGATGAATATGGATGCAAATATTCTCAACAAAATATTAGCAAACTGAATTCAACAACACATTAAAGAATCATACACCATGATCAAGTGGGATTTATCTCTGGGATGCAAAGATGGTTCAACATACACAAATCAATAAGTATAATATACTACACTAATATAATGAAGGATAAAAATCATGATCTTCTCAATAGATGCAGAAAAATCATTTGACCAAATTCAATACCCTTTCATGATAAAAACTCTCAATAAATTGTGCATAGAAGGACATACCTCAACATAACTCACAGATGACAAGCCCACAGCTAACATCATACTCAATGGTGAAAGACTGAAAGCTTTTCTTCTTTTACAAGGGTGCCCACTCTCACCACACCTCTTAGCATAGTACAGGAAGTCCTATCCAGATCAGGCAGGAAAAAGAAATAAAATGCATCCAGTTTGGAAAGGAAGAAGTAAAATTATCATTGTTTGCAGGCAATATGATCCTACATAGAGAAAATCCTAAAGACTCTACAAAAAAACTATTAGAGCTAATCAACAAGTTCAGTAAATTTGCAGGATACAAAATCAATATACAGAAGTCAGTTGTGTTTTATACACTAACAAAGAAACATCTGTAAAAGAAATAAAATAATCCCATTTGTATTACCATCAAAAACAATAGACTACTTAGGAATAAATTTAACCAAGAAAGTGAAAGATCTATACTCTGAAAATTATAA